TAATACTATTCTTTTGGTACCTAAAATCTAATAAAGCTACTGTAGTAGAGTTAGGAAGCAAATATTTTCTCCTATGGAAAATATAATATTTTCTCTTGTACAATGCCAAAGGCTAAGAGTAGTATAACCTTATATTTATTAGGAGTTTATGAGTGTTTAAGGGATTTCTAAATCCATATGTCATTCTTAGCTAATAGCACAAGAGCTTCAAGTATATTAATGGTTATTAAGCAAGAAAAAGTTAAATTAAAAATCTTTGCCATTTAAAGTATATTATAAAGGCTTTGAAGGAGTAGAATATTTTATGAACTCTTGTATCATCAAATGTAGAATACATACTATTAAATTATAAATGAGATTAACTGAAGAATAAAATTTAGATCATAGGTCAGCACATATTTTTAAAATAAAACTTTAATTTTTATTTAGAAATAGTACTAACAATACTTATAATACTTTACCTAATAGTTATTGTTGATAATTTTTTTATTAGAATTAAAAAATTATTTTAATAACTTCCATAATAATAGTTAATATTAAAAATTAATATATATTACCAGGATAAATTTTAAGTTTTTATTAAAATACAACACCCATAATACTTATTACTTGTTAGATATGTTATTGCATCTAAATTTTGTTATCGACTTGTATGTAAGATTCTGCATTTTCCGGTGATCTGTTTGACAATAAATATTTTCTAGAACCAAATGAGAAATTTTTACAAAAATATTATTAAAAAATAAAAAAATCCAAAAATAAACCCATCACCTATTTATTTACTCAAATAAATCTAATCACTGTAGCAAATATTTGCCAACCAGAATTTGGTTCCCGAGTTGTCAAGAACCAAATTCTGACTTAACTTTTTTTTATTCGTTTTAAAATTTTGTTTTATGTTTTTATATACTAAAATAAATATTATTATTTATATTATATTTATATTTTGTTAAAATACATATTTATAATATATTAGTCTAATAAATATTTATAAATATTTTGTTAATTATATATAATAAAATAAGTTTTATTATTTAAATTATGTTTATATTTTTATATTATTTAAAAATGAACAAAAATAAAAAATATTTATTTTACATGTTTATTAAAATTTATTTTACATATTTAAGATAATAAATAATATTTTTTAAAAATAATAATAATTATATTTTTAAAAACTAATTAAAATAATTAAATAATAAGTAAATTATTTTAGATAATTTTTAAAAATTAATTAAAATATTTAAATAATAAGTGTATTATTTTAGATAATAATGTTAATACTTAAATTATTTATACTTAAAGAATAATAATTATATTTTTAAAAATTAAATAAATATATTAAATATTATTTTGTTTATTTATTTATTTAAAGATGTAATTTTGAGTTAATATTTTTATATATTAGTACGATAAAATGATATTTTGAATAAAAATTTTATTTTAATTAAATTAGTCTTTTTAAAAATTACATTATTTAATATTATAATTTTTAATACCTTAAACCTTAAAATTTTACTATTATAATTTTTAATAAATATTATTTTAGAATAAAAAAATTATTTTTAAAAGGTAAATAAAATATTAAATTATAAGTTAATTATTTATACTTAAGACAAATATTTTAAAATTAACGTTTTCATATTACTAAGGTAATATTGATGAAGATAAAATACATTAATAAAGATGATAAATGGTCATATTCGTGTTTATTTTCTTCATTCAACCTTCTAAGCTTGTTTTTTGTTATTGTGAACCTTCTCTTTCTAAACTTATTCGTTATTCACTTTTTCTAATCTAAAAATGTCTTCAATTTATGTCATTGTTCACTCTGATAGTGCTATTAACCAATGTCCTAATAAAGGAGTCACGTTCACCTCATCATCAACCAAATTAGTACATCTAAAGAGAGGAGTGACTCTACAAAAGCTCAAAAAAGTCATCCACACAAAATTTTAACCGAGACGAAAATGAAATGGTGACAACTATACATTTTCTCTACCCAATTAGACTTGACCCGAGAGTTAGCAACTACATATGTGTTGAGTTGAGCGATGATGAAGACGTTGAGGTACTCTTCAACATCCACGATTCAAATCAATTTCAATCAGGTATATAATTATATGTTACATTTGTTATAAACGTAACCCAGGTATATGATATGAATTCTGACCTTTAGTCCTATACACAACTTTTAACTAGTCTATTCATGGACCTCAATGAAATACCCTCCTAACCATTTGAGCAAATCCTACCATCTTAGCCTCTTGAAGAAATCCACATTGAAGAACATGTTGTTGTGGGTCTCCCAATCAAAGTATTTGATCCTTTTAGCGAGGACGAAGATGAAATCCTATCTCAATAGCAGGATAATGATGAAGACTCCCTTCCACTTCCAAATATTCCACCATCACAACCATTATCATTATCCAACTCACTTCTACATTTTCTAGACTTTTCCAGTCAAATACAAGAACATGGCTCTGAGTTTGGCTGTGTCCTTGATCGTAAAATGGTAGTGTATCCGCCTAGAACACTATTTGTGGGCCAGCGCTTCTTAACAAAAGAATAAGTGCAAGACACCATAAATAGATTTCACATTGTCAATCATTGCACTTCCTAGACAGTAGCTTGCAATGCAACTGTATGTTCTAGGTTTCATATAGAAATTGAGTACACAACCGACATAAGGGTGGCTTGTTTGACGAGGGGAATGTATTCTTCAAGAGGTTGTTTTGGACCTTCAAGTCATGCATTGATGGTTTTGCTTTCTGCAAACCAATTGTTGAAGTGAATGAAACATTTTTGTATGGCAAATACAAAGGGACTTTATTAGTGGTAGTTGCGCAAGACGGCCGCAACAACATAATTCTCATTGTCTTTGCTGTGGTTGAAGGTGAAACTAGCGATGCATGATTCTTTTTTTAAAAAAACTTAAGGAGGTACGTAACCCCGTAAGAGGAGTTGTGCCTCATTTCAGATTGTTACGAGCATAAGAAGTGCATACTCCAAAAATGAAAGTGGTTAGGCAGAAAATAATTCTGTCCATGTCTATTGCATTAGACACATTGCACAAAACTTCATGGGACGATTCAAAAACGCTGCACTGAAGAAAGATGTCGTCAATATGAATAATTTTAAATTTTTACGTACTCTATATTATCATTAATATTTTATACAATTTCTTAGCTAGTTATGTTAATTTTTGTAATCTTGTTTCTAGCATGTGGGATGATTGAACCGAGATTCTTTTACTATTACAACATAGTAAAAGATAATAATCCTGAAGCTGCACAATGGTTGAACAACATCCCAAAGAAAAAATGGATACTAGCATGGGACAATGGACGACGCTAGAGACATATGACAACAAACCTAGCGAAGTCAATCAATTTAGTCTTAAAGAAAACTAAAAACCTACCAATTTGCTCCATAGTTATGACAATATACACCCGTTGCAATAAGTTCTTCATTGATAAAGACAGAGAAATAGATGCAATGATTAATGTTGGACATATGTACTCCGAGGTTGCAACTAAAGTAATTCAAAATGCACAGTCAAAGGCGAACACTCATAGAGTCATCACCTTTGACAGAACAAGCATTAGATTTTTAGTCGAAGAAACGCAACATCCGACAGAAATTTGACCCGTAAGAAGATTTACAGTACAGTTGGATGAAATGTGGTGTGATTGTGGCAAGTTTCAAAAAGTACACATCTCATGCTCGCATGTACTTGCTTCGTGCTTACACACACACCACAACTTTGACATCTACATAACTTCTGTGTATACCTTACAACAAGTTTTTAAAGTATACGAAGGTCAGTTTGAAGCACTTAGACATGAAGACTATTGGCCAACTTACACGAGCCCAACTTTGTGTTCAAATCCAGAACTGAAAATAACTTCAAAGAGTCAACCCAAGTCTAGTAGAATAAGAATAGAGATAGACATTAGAGAATAATAAAGTCAGGCAAAAAATTATTTTTGTTGTTACACAAGGAAGACATGTTCAAATATCGCTAAAGCTTTTAGTTCCTGCCATTGATTTATGTTGTTATTATTTTAAAATTTTCTTAATGTCATTTTTAATTTTATGAATGTCATTACAACTTTTAAATTTTTAGTATTTGTAATTTATATTAAATATATAATTATATATATAATATATCTACATAATATTATTTAATTATGTTTATTAATATTAATAACATATTTTTTTAAATAAATAATTATGTATAAATTTTAATAAAGATTAATATCTCAAAATAAATAAATAAACTGATTGTTATTTAATACTTTTATTTATTTTATAAATATATAAATTATAATTATATTTTTTATTTTATACAAATTTAAAATTAAATAAAGTATTATTGTAATTTTTATTTTTTTTAAATATAATATTAAATAACTAAAAATATAATTTTAAAATATAATATTAATATCATTTTCAAAAAATCAAAATTATATTAAATAATATAATAAGAAAAACAAAAATATTATTTATTATCTTAAATATGTAAAATAAATTTTAATAAACATGTAGAATAAATATTATTATTATTTTTATTCATTTTCAAATAACATAAAAATATAAACATAATTCAAATAATAAAACTTATTTTATTATATATAATTAACAAAATATTTATAAATATTTATTAGAATAACATATTATAAATATTTATTTTAATAAAATATAAATATATAAATATAATTTAAATAATGATATTTATTTTTTTATATAAAAACATAAAATAAAATTTAAAAACAAAAAAAAAGTCAAGTCAAAATTCGATTCTTTGGGTGACAAAAATTTGTTACAATAATTGAGTTTATTTGAGTAAATAAATAAGTGATGGGTTTATTTTTTTATTTTTTTAATAATTTTTCTGTAAAAATTTAGAATCTATAATTTTAATAAATTTAAATTAATAATAAAAATATTATTAAAAGATTGTGTCGTTACGTATTTGCTAGCATTTCTTTAAGAAAATATCGTTATATTTGTCTTATACAGTGAGCAACTGAAAAACCAGACATTATCAGTTCCCTCCCACTCACTTGAAGCTTCACTCATTCCAATCCTTTTTGGAGCGAACAGTAAAACACAAACACAAAAACAATCACAGTGGTGGAGAACGTTCCTTTCATTTCAAGGAACAACACCAATGGTAATAGTCGCATTATCATCCTCCCTCCCTGGTGGCAGAAACCTCTTCTCCTCCTTGCCCTCAACCCCGCCGCCACACGACCCCACCGCCGCCGCCATCTCCGCCACTCCGCCGCCACCAATCTCAATACCCAAGTACCCCCCTCCCCGCAAATCCCAAAACCCTCCACAACCCCAAAACCCTCCACCAAACCCTGGCCTCAAATACCACCGCCACTCCAAGTACCACAAGCCCGTCAAGCACGGCGGCGTCATCGCCTCCGAAGGCGACCGCTCAGTCATAATTGGCGACTCCGGCGTGTCGTACCTGCTCCCCGGCGCCCCCTTTGAGTTCCAATTCAGCTACTCGGAGACGCCGAAGGCGAAGCCGCTGGCGATTCGCGAGCCGGCGTTCCTGCCTTTCGCGCCGCCCACGATGCCGAGGCCGTGGACGGGGAAGGCGCCGTTGAAGAGTAAGAAGGAGAAGAAGAAGATTCCACTGTTTGATTCGTTCAACCCTCCCCCTCCCAACACGAAGGGAGTGAAGCGTGTAGAAATGCCTGGACCGTTTCCGATGGGGAAGTATCCGAAGGAGGGTAAAACGAGGGAAGAGATTCTTGGGGAGCCTCTCAAGAAGTGGGAGATACAAATGCTTATTAAGCCCATGTTATCTCATAATCGCCAGGTTAATCTTGGTGAGTTTTTGTTTTGAGTGGCGCATTCAGTAGAATAAGAAGCTCAACTTGGAACTTCACGTAATTGGGCTTTCCTCCTGTACTCTTAAGTCATTACATTTTTTCTTGCTGAATTGGTTCGAGGATAAGTCCATGTAGTAGGAATGAGTTACTCCTTAAGTACAACACTTTTATAACTATGCCAACTCATTCCCGTGAAAATTTCCTATGCTTGTGTTGCTTTCTTATTGTTATTGTATATGACCATGATGATGAATATTTTGATCATTCGTTAAGTGTTATTTGAAGTATATGTTCCACATATGGCTTTATGATGACATGAATCAAATCAGGGGTTTAAATTGCCGTTGGGGTTCCACATGTTATGGTTGATGTGGACCATTTGTGGCCGATGTGGTCTGTAATGATGGCCTGATGTGGTTGCCGCAGTCAATGCAATTTAGTGTTGCTGTCACATCATGTGATGCAATCTGCAATTTGAAATCCTTTATTGAAAGTTGTGAGTTCAGGTTAATGAACTGTGTTGGTGATGTTTTGTTTGATGGTTCAGGAAGGGATGGATTGACGCATAACATGTTGGAGTTGATACATTCGCATTGGAAGCGACGCCGTGTTTGTAAAATTCGCTGTAAAGGTGTTCCAACTGTAGATATGGATAATGTTTGCCATCATATAGAGGTTTAGTATCCCGTTTCACTCCTTCAAAATAGATTCCTAATCTAGTGTACTTTACTGTTTCTTACCTCTGACTATCTTATTGTTCAATCTGGGAGCACATTGATTGTTACTATCTATACTTGTACAATATCATTCCTGGGCATTGATTGCTTGTAACAAATTATAACCTGGACATGAAAATACGTTAATTAGACAACTTTGGGCTGAAACTGTTCTTTTTGTGATTTTTAGTGTTATAGTCTTAGATACCAATGGTGTATAACTGTTTTTAGCACTTCCCTACATATGGTTTGGCCATGCTTTATGGAGCAAGTAAGCAAAGGTTACTTCGAAGTTTGAATCCTTGCTACTTCCCGTTGAAGTTGTTGAAAATAAAATTTACACGGTGATGATTGATGATCTTGCTGGGTGATGAAAAGGAATGGAATGCTGATAATTTGGCGGAGTGCTATTTATTCTGATGCACGTGAGGAAACCCATTGGCTGAAAATTAAATGACTTTTATGAGGGCAACTTGCTTTGAAGGGCTGTTGTAACCTTTCTTCTCTTTTTGCTCCCCTATTTTTTGTTAAAATAATAAAAATATAGCTATATTCAGTTGAAATGTTTTGACATCTTTTTCCTAGTTGGGGCATTTCTGTCTTCAGTAAAGTTTTCAATTCATAGTCAGATTGAGAAAAGATTTTGTTGATGCTTTTACTTTTCTTATTTCCTCTTCCCTCCAATGAATTACAGCACAATGTTGACAAAAGCAATAGTTTTGTTTTAACCATGCAATGACAGTTGATTGTTGGTTAAAATTATTTGTTTACTTTGAGATTAAATCCGTATATGTTATGACAGGAGAAAACTGGGGGGAAAATTATTCATCGAGTTGGTGGTGCAGTTTATCTTTTCCGTGGTAGAAATTACAACTATAGTACTCGTCCTCAGTTTCCTATTATGCTCTGGAAGCCAGCTGCTCCTGTATACCCAAAACTTATTCAGGATGCTCCAGGAGGATTAACAAAAGCTGAAGCTGATGAGTTAAAGATGAAGGGGAAAAGCCTGCTGCCAATATGTAAATTAGGTAACCATCTGTTGGGGTTTCAGATCTATTTTCTTATGTGCAAACTCTCATGTTGGATGAAGAAATTTGACAATATACTGTACGACTTGTCTATATTTTTTCTTGCCTAGAGTAACCAAAGTTACAGAAGTTGTTAGGAACCCAGAGAAAATATAACGGAAACTAGAGAAGAAGAATTAAAGAAACAAAACTTTATTGAAGAACAAAACAGAAAATGAAGAATAAGGTTCTCCCCAAGGTTTTCCCCTTAACAAAGGATTTCTCCTTTAACAAATCCTTTAGCAAAGAGTTAAAGATCAATTTACAAATGTTAAACAAATCTCCATCCCCTTTCCTTTACATCTTTATCATATTTATTTACCTCATAAACCCCTTAGAAACAACTAACTTCTTTCACTAACTAACAACAATAACTATCCTAACTAACTTTCTCTTTTCTCTCTTTAACTCCTAACAATACCAACCCCTTGAATTTCAACTTGTCCTCAAGGTTGAAATTATGGAAGACTAAAATCCAAAGTTCTGTTTTAGGTGCACAAAATGTGGAATATGGGATGCTGAGCTCTTGTGAATATGCTACCGAAACACAAAATAGTCTTTGCAAATTGGGTCTGAAATCCTCTAGCAATGAGATGAGGTTGTCGCACCATGTATGCCCCAAAGTGTGCCCTTTAAACAAATCTTCATTCTTTGATCAGACCCATACTTTCCATGCTCACAATCTCCTCCTTGTCCTTAGTGAATCAGGCTTGGTTCATTAAGCCTAATTTGTAGATATCCAATTTTTCCCCTCCTTAGTTCCTTAACTTAAATTTTTTTTTATTGAACAAGAAATCTACGAGTATCTGCATAACCCACCCATGGCTGCATAGTGTTAGACCTTTGATTAGGAAAATATATGTTAGGAAAAATAAAAGTGGGGCTGGGCTAGGTCAGCAGAAAAATTGATAATTGATTTTAACGATTACGAGTGTTTTTACTAATTGAGAATAAATAGGATAAAGGGAGGAAAGTGGGGGAGTTCAATTAGTCACTTGGGATTGGTCTAGGGGAGATTGGGCTCTTGAATATTTGAAATGAGACATTGGTGTAAACATTCTTTTACTTTGTGTGGGGTACCAAACCGTAACTCAGAGATTCAATAGTAATAATACACGATTCTTTCCTTGGTTCTATTTTCTTTTTTTTTTCTTTATTCTTATTCTTTTGATCCAGTTCTATCAATTGGTATCAAAGCACTTGATCGGTAATGGTACATATAAGAATGGAGGCTTGGTTTGAATCTTTGAAGCTTGGGTTTGAGAAATTTCTTCAACAGCTCGAGGATGATAAACAAGAAATGAAGAAACTATTCCAAGAAGTTATGGGAAAAATCATTGGAAATTCAGAGTGAGATGATCGCGACACAAACGAAGGAAACAATTTGGAGGAAGACACAAGAAAAAGTCAATCACAAGTTGGGGGTGGAAAAGATCGATGGAGGAAACTAAAGATTCCTATATTTTCAAGAGAGTATACGTATGGTTTGGTGACTTGGATGGAGAGATATTTCAACCTAATCATAATTTCGGAGGAAGAAAAGTTACAAGCAGCCTTAATAGCCATGGAAGTGAAGACATTGACTAGGTATCAATGGTGGGAGTATTGCACTCGAAACCTAATTGGGAGGATTCCAATCGGCAATAACAAGGAGATTCCAACCTTTGATGTTGCAAAATCCATATGAAATGTTAGAGTTTGAACCAAATAACAACTATAGAAGAATATTAGGAACAATTCGAGTTGTACGCCAACCCTCTAAAAGGGGCGAATCCCAAATAACTTAGAGGAATATTTTTAAATGAGTTGGAGGAGGTGATCCGAGCATAATTGAAGTTACATCATTTAGGTATATAGGTTCCTACAAGAACTACCCTTCTTCAAGAGCAGTGACTTGGGAGATAGGAAATAAAACCTCGAATGTCACAGGGGTTGGTGGGACCAATGTTGGAGGTGACCCGAGTGTTATTTCAAGAGGGGATTCTAATAGCCTCAAGACTACAGGTTCATACAGGGGCAGAGGATTTGGGAAATTATTTGATGCTGAGTGGCAAGAGAGATCTAGAAAAGCCCTATATTTTAGGTGTGATGAGAAATTTGAGCCGGGCATGTGTTTAAAAACAAGCAATTACGAGTTCTGTTTGTTAAATGAAGAAGGAAATGATGAGGAAGACAATGAGTTCCATGACTATGAAGAGGTGGAGCACAAGGTCCTCCAACTATCAATGTAAAGCATAACAGGTTTGACCTCTAAGAAGTCCATGAAGACATGGGAAGAAGTGGATGAGAGAAAGGTTGCAGTCCTAGTAGATTGTGGAGCTTCCCACAATTTTATATCTTTTGCATTGGTAAATGAAGCAAGCTTGCCAATAACAAAGACATCCTCATACACAATGGAGGTGGGAGATGGGAAGAAAATTAAATGAAGTGGAGTATGTTGTCAACTAGTCCTACATATACAGCAACTAAAGGTATGAGAAGATTTTTTTCGTCTTTGATTTAGTGGGTGTTGACATAGTGCTTGGGATGGAATGGTCAGTGGGGTTGGGTGAGATTAAAGCTAATTTTAAGGATCTCACCTTGAAAGTACCCACTAAGGATGGAACTTGGGAAATTATGGAAGAAACAGCTTTGTTCAGAACTGCGGCTTCTATTAAGTCAATATTGAAGACTTTGAAAGCTGAAGGACATGGATTTTAGGTAGAGTATAAGGAGATAAAAAGGGATTCCATGGATGACTGCATCCTGGGTTGGGTTCAGGAGGTCTTGGAATAGTACAATGAAGTTTTCTAGGAGCTACAGGGATTACCACCCCTTAAGAAGACAAGATTATGCCATTATTTTGAAGGAAGGTGCTGAAATTCCAAACTTAAGGCTTTATAGGTATCCCCATTATCAGACAACTAAGATATAAAAGTTAGTTGATGACATGCTGAGTCCTGGGATTATACAACCAAGTGTTAGTCCCTATTCTAGCCCCATTATCCTTGCTATAAAGAAAGATGGAGGGTGGCAATTTTGTGTAGATTATAGAGCCTTAAATAAGATAATTGTTCTTGATAAGTTTTCAATCCCCATTATTGATGAATTACTTGATGACTTAGGAGGTGCAATGATTTTTTCAAAGCTGGACTTAAGATCTAGATATCACCATATTAGAATGATGGAAGAAGATATCTCTAAAACTGCGTTCAAAACCTATGAGGGACACTATGAATTTGTTGTGATGCCCTTTTGTCTTACAAATGCTCCTTCAACTTTTCAATCATTGATGAATGAAGTACTAAGGCCATATTTTTGAGTCGTAGGATATTGAGAAATTAATGATATATTTTTCTTTCTCACTTAACTCTTAAAAACTAAAACCACCATGAGCTTTTGCAAATTGTTTTTCTTCAGAACCAACATGCCTCTCAAAGTCTTCATTTATGAAAATCTTTTTAGTTTGTAAAATATCTTAGGTCAACTCCTACAAATCCTTCCAAAACTTTTCTTTCAAAAGGGCTTCTGAGTCAACTTGTGGAGCACAAGCATTGATGATATTAATGGTCTTATCTCCAATCCTTATAATCTTTATTATGTTTTTTTTTTCCAAGTATTATCCACAATTATGCCTACTTTGTTCTTTTCCTTCACTTTTCCTATGTACCAAAGTTTGAAACGTATAGTATCAAGTTTCTTAGCCTTATTTCTAACCCATTTTGTTTCTTGAAGGCACATGATGTTAATCTTTTAGGAATCATAATGTCCACCACTTCTATTAACTTTTCTGTCAAAGTACCAATATTCCATGAACCAAACCTAAACATGTGTTTATGAACTAACTTTTTTACCCACATTTATCCAGCCAAATGTAAGGACCTTTGCTCATTTAACACTATATCTGGGCGCCGATGCAGCGACTTTAACTCATTTGACATTGTACTGAGTCATGTAGAGTGTTACTTTCAAGTAACGACCTATTACTAGTACAATATTGTCATGTGTAATTCATAGGCCTAACCCAATCCTTCTCCTTTATCCGGGCTTGGGACGGGTCATAGACAGAGTGACTTTACCATACGTGTTAGATAAAAAAATATCATCCAAGTTTAATTGATTTGTTATCTTAATCAAAATTTTTGGTTACCAACCATCTTAGCGTAGCCTCTAACACTAGTTAGTAGAGTAAGATAATGAAAATAGAAGAAGAACAATAACAACAACAACAACCAATCCTTGTCCCACTAGGTGAGGTCAGTCATATAATGAAAATAGAACTTGCAAGAAAAATGAACTGTAGAATTTTAGTTGGAAGAAAAATGAAGAAAATCCTGTGAAAGTAAAACTGATAAGTTGTCTATATGTTATATGTTTCTTTCTTGACGAGTATATTGTTCCTGTAAAGTATTCTTTTCCATTTGGAGCTGTTATTCATGATACATTCCTCTTTAGGGATATTTACACATTCATTTAAGACACGAGTTATGGTTCTTATTTTTAAATTTAAACTTCTAAATTACTTTTATCTTGTTGCAGCCAAAAATGGAGTATACACCTCCCTTGTAAAGGATGTGAGAGATGCTTTTGAAGGATGTCCTCTAGTGAAAATTGACTGCAAGGGGTTGGATCCTAGTGATTACAAGAAATTAGGTGCCAAACTTAAGGTATCTAGATAACAAGTTTTTTTTTTTTTTTTTTTTTTTTTTTTTTTTTTTTTATGTATAGTGCTGTTTTTTTGGGACTTATTCATGCCCAACCCAAGCAATTTTGATATCTGAGCAAGATATTAAGTTAATATAATTAATTTGAAGTCTAAAAGGAAGCCATATATATGCTCAAAGGAAATGAAAAAAAATGTGTACTTGGGAAATGAAAACATTAGATTCAACCTAGTGTTTGTTTGTATCGGATATAAACCTTTTCATTATTCTATTGAGGGATGCACATTTTGGCTTGAAATGCAATTCACTAAAATTTGATGGAAGCAGTTGACAAGCTGTTGTTGAAGTTTAAAACGTAATAACTCCAACTCACACTCACTCTCAACTTGACAAGTTTACGAGGAACTAAAATTCATACTTGTATTCATATCTTTTAATGGGTGTACAAAAGGGACTTATATAAGATTGTAATCAACCACCTATTTCCTCCCATTCTAACAACCTGCGCTAACATATGACAGTTATAATGGTTTTTGACAATTAATTTCTAATTTTTTTTCTAATTAGTCCCTGAATATTTAATCTGTTACAATTGTCCCCCCTTTCAAAATAGGACTTGTCCGCAAGTCCTATGACTAATAATGCCAATTGAACTCTGGAAATTGCCGCTTCATGCTAAATAATTCTCTCCATTCAGCATCTTCTGGAGTCGTGTCCTTCCATTGTATTAAGACCTCCGTAACCGCTTTATGCCCTTTCTTTTTCATTCTTCTGTCCAAGACTGCCAACGGTTGTGCCTGATACTCGCCATTTGCATTGAATACTGGCAACTGAGGTGAAACCAAATGTTGTCCATGGTGTTTCTTTAATAAAGACACATGGAAAATATCATGAATCTTTGTTCCTTGTGGTAGTTCCAATTTGTAAGCTATTTTCCCAATTCTTTCTAGAATCTGAAATGGGCCATAGTAACGTGCAGCAAGTTTGTGGAAAGGAGTGTTGGCCAATGTGTGTTGTCTAAAGGGTTGGATCTTTAAGTATACCAAATCTCCCTTCTGGAATTCCTTGTCAATTCGTTTCTGATCTGCAAATTTCTTCATTCTGTCCTGTGCCTTCCATAAATTGATGTGCAGCAACTGTCTGATCTGTTCTCTTGTTTTTATCGTATAATTCACAGCTTCCACCATGGAGTCGTCCTTGATCACCACATTTGGACTAGCAGGAGGATAACCGTATAAAGCTTCAAATGGTGTCATCCTAGTTGCTGAATGGAACTTGGTATTATACCAAAGTTCAGCCAAGGACAAGAAGGTCACCCATTTCTGAGGCATGTCTCCTGTCACACACCTTAAATATGCTTCCAAAGATGTATTCAAAGCCTCAGTTTGTCCATTTGTTTGGGGATGGAAAGCTGTTGATTTTAAAAGCTTCACTCCATGTAATTTCATGAGCTCATTCCAGAATTTACTCATAAATATAGTATCCCGATCAGAAATTATCTCATTTGGCCATCCATGTAATTTCACCACATTATCCATAAAGATCTCAGCTACCTTGGCAGCTCCAAATGGATGAGATAGGGACATGAAATGAGCATATTTGGTTAATCTATCAATGACCACAAGGATGACAGTCATACCATTGGATTTTGGTAGGCCAACAATGAAATCCATTGAGATGGACTTCCATGCTTGATCAGGTATAGGGAGTGGTTGTAGTAGACCTGCTGGCAGCTGCTGCATGGGTTTGTTTTGTTGGCAAGTCATGCATTGTTGAACCCACATCTTGACCTCTTTTTGTAACCCTTTCCAATGGAATTGTTCTTTAATTCTTCTGTAAGTAATTTCACTTCCTGAATGACCTCCGACTGGTGAATTGTGAAAATGTTGCAGAATTTTCTTCCGTAGGTGCATTGCCAACTACCAATTTTCCTTTCCGTCTGAAGAAGTCTCCATCATGTGTAATGTTTGTAAGGTTGTTGAGTTAATCTAATTCTGTCAATAATCTTTTGTATCTTATGGTCTGCTTGCCATGACTCTTTCACCTCTTGCAGTAATTGAGATTGTATGACCAGAATTGCTGCTAAACAGGCTTCACTTCTATTCCTTGACAAGACATCAGTTACAATATTTTCTTTGCCTTTTTTATATTCAATGCTGAAGTCTAAGCCCATAAGTTTTTCCAATCCCCAATTCTGCATCAAAGTTATCGGTGGCTGTTCCAACAGGTGTTTGAGAGCTTTCTGGTCAGTTTTGATGATGAAATGTTGGTCTAAAAAATAATGCTGCCATTTCTTTACTGCAAACAGAATGGCATAGAACTCCTTTTCGTAGGCTGACAAGTTGTGATATTTTGGTCCCATGGCTTTACTTATATAAGCTATAGGGTGTCCTTTTTGTAACAAGACTGCCCCTATACCTATACCGGAGGCATCAGTCTCCAATGTGAAAGGTTGACTGAAATCGGGTATAACACAGGTGCTGTAGTTAAGGCTTGTTTGAGCTTGTTGAATGATTCCTCAGCTTCCTCATTCCATTTGAACTTAGTGTCTTTTTGTAGAAAGTTTGTTAATGGTGCAGCTATTTTTCCATAATTATAGATAAATCTTCTATAGTAGCCGGACAGGCCAAGAAACCCTCGTAATTCCTTTAAAGATGTAGGTCTGGTCCATTGCTGTACAGCCGTAATTTTCTGAAGATCAGGTTCCACTCCTTTGGAGGAAATAAGATGGCCTAAATAATCAATCTTCCTTTTTCCAAAACTGCATTTTTTAAAATTCAATGCTAGGCAATTGTGCTGTAAAATCTCCAACGTGATCTCTAAACATTGTATATGGTCCTCCCAAGTCTTTGTGTAAACTAGAATGTCATCAAAGAAAACTAGGATGAATTTTCTAAATTATTCTCTGAATATGTCATTCATCAAGTTCTGAAAAGTAGTTGGAGCATTGCTTAAGCCAAAAGGTAACACCACCCACTCATAGTGTCCACTATGAGTTCTAAATGCTGTTTTAGAAATGTCCTCCTCAGCCATTCTGACTTGATTATATCCACTCCTCAAGTCAAGTTTGGTGAAATAGCTTGCACCATGTAGCTCATCCAAGAGATCCTCTATTAAAGGCATAGGAAACTTGTTTTTGACAGTGATGGCATTTAGCTTTCTAAAGTCCGTACAGCACCTCCAAGAGCCATCCTTCTTCTTCACTAAAACCAAAGGAGATGCGTAGTTGCTTGCACTGTCCCTAATGAATCCTGTGGAGAGTAATCCCTTAACTTGTCTCTCGATCTCCTCCTTTTGATTGTGTGGGTACCTGTAAGGCTTCAAACAAACAGGTGAATTACTCGTGAGGATTATTTTGTGGTCATATCGTCTCTTAGGAGGAAGCTCAGTTGGCTCCTTGAAAAGGTGGTGATACTGTTCCATTAGTTTTTGAAGTTCCTCATTCTGACTTTGAGATAATAGTGCTTCATTCTCAGGTGTAGGTAGATTAAAGAATGCAGACCCTTGTATAGCCAGTAACATTGTCTGGCCCTGGATTGTTTTCAATGTCCTTGAAGTTGTAGAAATTGCTACTTGTTGTGGTTCACCATTTAAACATGCTAGTTGTCCTTGATGCTGGAATTTCATTGTCAATTGAGCACAGTTCCAACAAATTTCACCCAATGTCTGAAACCATTGCATGCCCAATATAATTCCAAAACTGCTACTAGGTAATACCAGGAAATCTGCTGCAAAGTGGTGATCATTGAACCTCCATGAAACCTGAGAACAGAGCTTAGTGATGACTAGTTGCTTATCTGAAGCCACCATCACCGGAAAGTCCCTTACGAAACTGGTTTTGAGGCCTAATGTCTTCACCCATCTGTCACTAATGAAGTTGTGAGTGCTCCCTGTATCCATCAAGAATGACACTTCCTGCTTCTTTATAATTCCCTTTAATTGTAGTGTATTTCCCCCAGCAATTCCTTGTAATGCATTTAAGGAAATATGCACATTGGTATTATCTGCTAACTCCAGGCAATGCTCAATTATTTCAGTGTCTACATCTTGATCAGCAGCATCATCATTATCAATCTCAATTTGTTCTTGCGCAGCAAAAATGGCATTCAACCTACCCCAGACTTTACACCTTTGTTTATGATTCCTATCCCATTTATCACCACAAAAACGACATAGACCCTGAGCAATTCTTTCACTAACCTCTTTTCTGGAAATTGGTGTTGTATTGGCTGCCTTGGATTCCACGGTAGGTGCTGAATTGGAGGAAGTCGATGTGTGATTTTGTTGTAAACTAGTAATAGGTTGACTTCTTTGATTTTGATTTGTGTTATACCAAGTTCTTGAGTATCTGGTCTGGAAATCAGCATTGGTGTTCCTTTCCATACCCAGTTTCTTGGTGATATCTAGGAGAATCCCGTCTTGCAAGCGAGCCAACCGGATTGCCTCTTGAATTGTTGCTGGTTTATGGACGCGTACAGATTTCTCTAACGTAGGTTTCAATCCCGAAAGAAAGAAGCTAAGTGCTATTTCCTTTGAAATAACCACACGTGCCAAGAGGTTATCAAAATTTTCAAGATATTCAATCAATGCACCATCTTGCTTTAATCTTGTCAATTCTGCCACCGGATCATCAAAGGTACCATCGTCGAATCTGTTTCCAGCATCTTGTAAAATCTGTCGCCATGGTTTTGTGCTGAAATTTGGGTCTTGAATGTAATGTCTTTGCCAGGAAAATGCTTTGCCATCCATTGAAAGTAACAATAGACGCCCTCTTTGATCTTCAAGCGTGCCTTCAAGTTCAAAGAATTGTTCGGCCTTGGCTTGCCATTCTCTGAAATTATTGCCATTAAACGAAGGAAACTGGAGCTGAGCTCTATCAAGAATAGATGTAGAAGATTCTGGAGTTTCACTATGAGTATCATTTTCCGGTGTCTGTTTCTTGCCGTAATGGAGCGCTGCCACTGATGATATTAATCCTTCCATTGATTTCTGCAATGCTTCAAGACTCCGTTGTGTTGTATCTTGCGAATCTGTCATTGTTTTCTCCATCGAGTCGATGCGCGTTTCAAGTTTTTTCACTGTCACCATCGTTTCCAGACTAGCTGATACCAATTGTTGAAGTTTAAAACGTAATAACTCCAACTCACACTCACTCTCAACTTGACAAGTTTACGAGGAACTAAAATTCATACTTGTATTCATATCTTTTAATGGGTGTACAAAAGGGACTTATATAAGATTGTAATCAACCACCTATTTCCTCCCATTCTAACAACCTGCACTAACATATGACAGTTATAATGGTTTTTGACAATTAATTTCTAATTTTTTTCCTAATTAGTCCCTGAATATTTAATCTGTTACACTGTCTATCGATATGTATTTATCTAATCGGAACTTTTCTTGGAAAGTTATATGGTTGGATTTAAACAAATACCATAATACCAAAATTCCAATTTGACCTACGAGGATGATTTATTATCTTTTAAATCCCTTTCACTTGTTGATCCATGTCTCTTGTGAACGTTGATGAAAATGGAGCAAAGATAATGATAAATTTATTGATTGACTGAAATTGAACTGAACGAAGATGGAAACTCTCCCCCAAGGGTTTTCCAATTATGCACTCTCTCGGTTCACACAAAATACAAATTCCTCAGTACCTCCTTTCTCCCCTTATTTTGCCCCTATTTATCTAATTGGACCTCCTCTTAGTAACTAAATGTCCTAATTGTTCCTATTACTTGGAGTCCATTTTGTTTGTCCAAGCAAATACCCTTTCACCTTTTCTCCTAACAACACCCCTTTGAAGTTCAACCTTGTCCTCAAGGTTGAAAGTGGTCAGCTGTTAGCAGATAATTTTTATGTTGCAACATCCCCAAAAAATGCCTGTACAATGACCCCTTCTGTGTCTAATTGCTCATCTTCTACCAAAATAGCAAGTTGCACGCTCCTTGTTGAATCTGGAGGGTGAGATTTATAGGTTTTTATTATCTGTAAAATTTTCTTATGTAAATTGTATTAATTTTATGATTGAATTCTTACAGACAAAATTACATGTTCCAGAAAATATTCTTTTTACTCTTCTGTCCTAACAAATACCTGGAAGGAAACCGAGAAAGAATTGGTTAATGATTATAACATTTTAGTATAATATATTGAAGTTTCTTAATTTAGCAAAAGCCCAAGTTCAAACACAATGCATGATGGAGGATTTCATCAGTTTGATTTTTCAGATTATTATTTGTCTTTGGCTATGCTAAAACTGATCATTAGGTCAATCTTAGAAATTTGAAGGCACCCTATGGTTAACTAGGTAATGATTATTTCATAATAGAATTGTCTGCTTTCCACTACCAAAATAGTTCATCTCTTATACTTATGATGCAGCTCAATGCTAAATTTGTTGTCTAAGTTCTTTGTGTTTCAGCTCTGGGGAAAATGAGAGAACTTGTTACAATTTATTACTGTGATATTATATGAATTGGACTGTGTAATTGAAAAGTCTCTGTTAAGTCTGTGTTTCATAGAACATAATAATACAGGCCATGTGCAGTGTAAAGTAGTATGCATGTCCCTCTTGTATTGTCACAATCGTTAGAATTGGGAGTATTATGCTGCATTCATTTTGATAATCTTGTGTTGGCAGGATTTGGTTCCTTGTGTGCTGTTGTCTTTTGATGATGAACAGATATTGATGTGGAGGGGCAAAGACTGGAAATCGAGGTACCCACAAGTTCTGCCCATTTGTACTCCTGCCGAAGCTGGTGTTACAGGAAAATTGAACAACAATACAGGTATAAGTTAAGATTAATAAAAAAAAAATTAGTTGAACCATTTTGTTTTTGAATGTGGTTTCCCATTATATCATATTACTAAGAAAGAAGAGAAACTTTAAACAGAAAAAGTAAAATTCAGAGATACAATCAATATATTTTAGTGCCAGATCTAGAAAAAGGAAATGGTTTATTCTTAAAACAGAATTCGAGGCACGTTTGACACAATTCACCCAGCAGTTAATACTACAATAAGTACTGAGATTTTCTATCAGATGGATTTCAATGGTGGGGTATATGATACGAATTTAAGGAATGGCATTGACAGAAATGCATTATGGCATCAAGCTTTTGTGAAATTTTTCGAGCTAATTGGGACTTTGGAAGTTTGGGGAGCAGCTGAGTCAGCCTTGAGTTTCATAGATTTTAATTTTTGGAGGAGCTAGATATATGCACAATTGTATAGGAACCTTTATGAAGTGATATTGAAGGAAAAATATGGAAAAAAAGATTTATTGTTGCTTTGTGTTTTTGAGATGAAAGCAAGTTCTGTTCCACATGCAAACGAAGTTTCAACGAGAATAACTTAATTATGTTGTTATTGTTGTTGTTACTGTTATTATTATTATTATTATGACAATGTCAAAGATGATTATAGGTAGATCATTTTACTTCGATGATTTTCCATCGCTGCATGTGTCCTTCCTGTTTGTCTGGTTAGTTACAAATATGATGCCTTCATGTTAACAAAATAATTTTCCTAGGGAAGCTTCCATACAATGTTTTGTGGTCTTTTTTTTTACCCCTCGTTGATTGTTCAACTGCTGTCTTGCATACTGCATTACAGATTTCTAATATGCACATACTTTTTGACTTTTTTTATTATATTTACAGTATTAGCCTCCAAAAATTGATTTTTTTTCCCTCTGGCGCCGTAGACGATTATGTAGGATATTTTTGTCTGTTCCATGTGGTAAAATTTGTAGTTGGTTGATGACATTGGCCATGTTTTCACAATGTTAATCAGGCAACGAGACTGACGACAGTCAAACTGTGGAGCACGATGGCAACATGGTGAACACAAGCTCAAAAATGTTGTCTCTGTGGAATACTGCAATTGAGTCAAGCAAGGCTTTGTTGCTAGATGATTTTAATCTTGGTCCTGATGCTCTTTTGGAGAAGGTAGAGGAATTCGAGGCTGTTTCACAGGCCACGGAGCACTCCCATCCAGCATTTATTTTGTCTGGTGAAAATGGTGCTGAAGGTTCAACCACAAACTTCGAAGATAGCTATTCTAGTGACGGCTTACCTACTGAGTATGATGACGATGATGATTATGTTAACTACCATGATGATGAAGATGATGACTTGTATGTCGTGGACTCATCAGCTCAACCCGGATCATTACCCCTGGATATGATTGTCAAAAGGCTAAACCAAGACCACAGGAGTAAAAACATGAAAAAAAATCTATGATAACTTGAAGAGCATGTGTATTGAGGAAAATAGCAGGCATGAAATGTAAAATTTCGAATAGAGAAAAATAGTTATTTGTAAATAACCAATGGTTAATGTCTCCGGCACTAAATTTTGTGCGACAACTACGTTCACAACATAACATGAGGCCACTCGTGCTAAAAGGGAAACTCTCATGGTTTCTTCTGAATTGGGTACATTTGAGAGCCAACACCTAATGATGCACTTTCCTTCAAATAACATAACAATATTGGAGGCTTTTTTAATAAAAATTTAAAGGAAATGAAAACTCTATTTCAGAATTGTATCATTCAATTAAAAGAGGTTAATTATTTAAGTGGCACATGCTTATTTTTTTACAGAAAATTCTCAGGTTCAAACTTTGTGAATGTTGTACTCCAATATAATTCAATTTCTGTTATTCTGTTTTACTGTTGTGTACTGGTTAGCTCTATATAAAGAGTGGCCTTACTTCTGTAATAAATACTCAATACAATAACATCAAAAAATTCAATCATATATCCAGTGTGCATCTGCCTTTCTACCATTACTTTGAACCTTTTGAAAACTGCCAGCACATCACTTTTGGCTTTAATTAAATATAGCCAAATCATTCTACTAAATTCATCAACAAATGTCACAAAATACCTATTCTTTCCAAGTGAAAGCTCTTCAAATGGTCCACACACGTCTGAATATACAACATGCAACACACTTTTGGCTCTCATATGCATATGGGAATCAAAAACATTCCTAGATTGTTTTCCCATTAAGCATTCCTCACACAATTTCACTGGTAAAGTTACTTCAGGTAGACCAATTACCATATTCTTGTCAGCTAGTTTCTTGAGACTATAGAAGTTCAAGTGTCCAAACCTTCTATGCCATAACCAGCTCAATCTGTCAGTGACTGTGGCTGTAAGACAGTGCTGTTCAACAGGATCTAGTTTTGTCTGAAACGTTCTGTTCTTGGACAGTGGAGATTGCAGTACCAATTTCTTCCTTGCATCATAAACCTTCAGCATTTCTTCTTGCATTGTAACAGTGAAGCCCTTTTCAACAAGCTGTCCAACACTCAACAAGTTACATTTCATTCCAGGAACATACAACACACTCTCTATTACTGTCACTTCTTTCCCATTCTTCTTTATCACAATATCACCAATTCTTGCTGCCTCAATAACATTGTCATCTGCAAGCCTAACCTTACTGGTTTTGCTTGTATCAAGATTCGAAATCCAGCTTCTGTGACCAGTCATATGATTGGAACAACCCGTATCCAGAAACCAATTCCCTGTTAAGAAACTTTCTTCACTGGCAGTGACCATCAACACCACGGGTTCTTCATTAGCCTCATCTTGAGCCACATTTGCTTCAGCCTCAGCTTCTCTTTTCTGTTTGCCTTTGCCAAACCAGCAGTCTGCAGCATAATGCCCCCACTTCTCACAATTGTAACATTGGATCTTTCTGCAATCTTGATTCTTCCTTCCTCCTCTTCCTCTGCCAAAACTGCCCCTAGCAGTCCTAGTTTGTTCCGTTCGCTCCCCAAAACCTCCTGTGTTCCTTTCTTGAGTTAAAGAACCACTATCTTTATCAAAACGACCACTAGTTTTGTTATTTCTTTTTCCTCTTCCACGCGAAAAACCCCCTTTTCTTGTGGCAGCAGCCAATGCTTGTTCTTCCTCTACTTTTACAGCATTTCTTGACAGAAGCTTTAATTCGTGAGCTTCTAGTGATCCCTGTAGCTCCTCCACTGTCATTGTCTCTGTATCTTTCGACTCCTCTATTGCCACCACAATATAGTCGAATTTGGTTGAAAGGGTGCGCAATATTTTCTCCACCATACATAGATCTGTCATGGGTTCTCCGCACGCTCTCATTGAATTAACTAAGAGTTGTACTCTGTTGAAGTATTCTGCAACACTTTCTGACTCAAGTATAGCCATCAACTCAAACTGCCTTTTGAGAGCCTGTCGTTTCACCTTCTTCATTTTTTCGGCTCCTCCATGTACTTTCTGTAAAATGTCCCATGCTTCTTTTGCCGTCTTTGCCTTGGAAATCTTTTCAAAATTCACCGTATCCACACATTGGTATAGAAGACACCGAGCCTTGCAATCTCTCTTTTTGTTTGCAGCTTCGTCTTTCTCCTTTGCACCATCTTTCACAACTTCCAGCAATTCTTGATAACCCAGAATGGCCTCCATCCGAATGACCCAGTGATCATAGTTCTTGTTATCAAGCACTGGTAGGTTAGATACGAAATTCCCACTTCCATTGACAGCCATGTATTTTCTAGAATCTGAACCTTTGCTCCTGATACCACTTGTTGGCAAAGGCAGTGTGGAAAGGAGTTAAAAATCTTGAGGACTGATGGAGGAGGTGAGTATGTGTCTAGAGAGTTTAAAGAATATTGCATTGAGCTGGGAATACAACATGAGTTGACAGCACCCTATACTCCACAACACAAGGGGTTGGCTGAAAGAAGAAATAGGACCATTCTTGATATGGCCAGGAGCATGTTGAAACAGAAAAGCTTGCCTCATTCTCTCTGGGGAGAAGCAGTGTCCACTGCTGTGCACATTCTAAACAAGTGTCCTACAAAGAAGCTTGAAAGTAAGGTTCCAGAAGAGATCTGGTCTGGCAGGAAGCCAGTTGTGAGCAATCTGAAAATTTTTGGCTCTGTGTGTTATAAACACACCCCAGATGCTAGGAGAAAAAAGTTAGGAGATAAAAGCACAGCAATGATAATGGTAGGGTATCATTCTACAGGCGCATACAGACTTTACAATCCAGCCACTAATGAAGTTTGTATCAGTAGAGATGTTGTGATAAGTGAAGATGAGTCATGGAATTGGAAAGAGATGGCAAATATTTCTGGAAGTCAGACTATTTCAGTGACAATTGGAGATGAAAATAAAGACTCAGAAGGTAATCAGATTGATGAAACAAGGTCTACACAGCAGCAAACTCAAAGAGAAACAAGGCAATCGAGGCAGAGAACTATGCCAAGGTCATTGGTTGACTTTGAAGTTTATCCCGATAATGCTATAAATAATGAAGGAGACTTGGTTCATTTTGCTTTACTAGCAGAAGCAGAACCTATAGATCATGAAGAGGCTATGAAGCATGAGCTGTGGAAGGCTGCAATGATAGAAGAACTCCATTCAATTGAGAAGAGTGAGACCTGGACGCTGACAGAATTACCTCTGAACAAGAAACCCATTGATGTTAAGTGGGTGTTCAAACTGAAGTTAAACCCGAATGGAGGTATTGATAAGAGGAAAGCAAGATTAGTGGCACGTGGATTTCTGCAAAAAGAAGGTCTAGACTACACGGAGGTGTTTGCTCCTGTAGCCAGGATCGAAACCATAAGATTGGTAGTAGCTTTGGCAAATGGAAATGGATGGCCTTTGTTTCAGCTTGATGTGAAATATGCTTTTCTAAATGGCCCACTTGAGGAGGAAGTATATGTTTCTCAACCCCCTGGATTTCTGATTAAAGGAAGTGAAAACAAAGTTTATAGATTAAGGAAGGCTTTATATGGGTTAAAGCAGGCCCCAAGAGCCTAGAATAGGTTGATGGATGCGTTCATGCTGAAACATCAGTTTGTAAGGTGTCCAGTAGAGCATGGAGTTTATGTTAGATTTTTGGATGAAACAAATGTGTTACTAATGTGCATATATGTGGATGACCTGCTTATTACGGGAAGTAATCAAACTGAAATAGGGAGATTCAAGGAGTTATTAATGGCTGAATTTGAGATGACTGACCTCGGGAGATTGAAATATTTTCTTGGAATGGAGTTCGTTGAAGTCAGTCAAGGGATGGTTCTATACCAGAAGAAGTATGCAGCAGAAGTTTTGAAGAAGTTTTGTATGGAGAACTGTAATATTGCAGTAATACCAGTTGAGACAAAGATTCCAGTGACAGAAGATGGTGAAGAAGAGGCTGACAACACACTCTATAAGCAGATGGTTGGATCACTTAGATACCTATGCAATAGTAGACCTGATATTTCGTTCTTTGTTGGGGTTTTAAGCAGATTTATGCATCAACCAAGAAATAAGCATGTGCTGGCTGCAAAAAAGGTGTTAAGATACATTAAGGGAACAATTGATTTTGGAATTCTGTTTCCTAAATCAAATCAGATGCAGGGAAGATTACTAGGATTTTCTGATGCAGATTGGTGTGGTGATAGCAACGATAGAAGGAGCACTACGGGATATTTGTTTAAGTTCTTGGGTGCACCAATCTCTTGGTGTAGTAAGAAGCAATCTGTTGTTGCTCTATCCACATGCGAAGCTGAATACATTGCGGGATCAAATGCAGCATGTCAAGCAGTTTGGCTTGATTCACTCATGACTGAAATAAAGGTGCAGATTGAGAAGCCTATACAGTTGTATGTTGATAACAAATCAGCCATAAATCTAGCTAATAATCCTGTGTCTCATGGAAGGAGTAAACACATAGAGACTAGATTCCATTTTTTGAGGGAGCAAGTGAATAATGGGAAGTTGAAGCTGATCTATTGTCCTACTCAGCAACAAGTGGCTGATATTCTAACGAAGCCCTTGAAGAAGGAAAGGTTTGAAATGCTACGAGCTGAATTATGTGTTATTAGTTTGAGAAATTGAATTAAGGGGGATGTTGTACTCCAATATAATTCAATTTCTGTTATTCTGTTTTACTGTTGTGTATTGGTTAGCTCTATATAAAGAGTGGCCTTACTTCTGTAATAAATACTCAATACAATAACATCAAAAATATTCAATCATATATCCAGTGTGCATCTGCCTTTTAAATCCTCTTCTCCCCTGCCAACAGTGAATAGCAAAAAATAATTAGTTTTATAGTTTTGGAAGTGTTTTTAGCAGCTTAAATAAGATTATTTCTTGCAGAGGATACCTGTAGTTTAGATGAAAGGAAAATCGTATTTTCAGTATAGTTGATGTCACGTCTATGTAACAATTCACTTTCTCAACCTTTTACTACACTAGGGCCAGCCCTCATGAGTCACTCGGTTGATTTCAGCATAATTTTTTTAACATTTTTGTTGACATTTAATTTTATTTTCAAAATGCTTCTAATCTAAATTCTTAATTAAAAATATGTTTTGATTATAATTTTTATAATAAACTTAAAGTTGATTTAAATGTTAAAATAGAATTATAAATGAATCAAGATGTTTGTGAATTATTTCAAGCCTGGTTAAATGCTTGATTAAATTCTTAACTATAGAAATAAGCTCAAACTTAAATTTATATTTAATATATAAATTATCATATATATGTGTCTGTAAGAATTCCATGGTAAAATTTAGAAAAGAAATTGTATAGGTAATATAAACTTATATATTACTATATACTATTACTTACTAAGTTATAATTCTATTTATAAGAAGTTGTGTTTCCACAATAACCCTAACAAAATAAGATAAAATTATAAACATAATAAGCAAACAGAGTGTAAATTTGAAATTCTGAATAAACCAAACTGAACTTTAATTTCATCTGAGCAGCTTTTTTCTTTTTTTTCTCGAGAACTTTATTCGATTACAGACCCCCGAGTGAAAGCCTCAAACGAAACTCAAATAAATAAATAAAGAGAAAGCAAGAATTGGACACATGACGTTGACAAACATGCAATGAGACAAAAAGATACAGAGCTGAAGCTTGAAACTGATTTTAGTTTCTTAAAAAAAGTGGAAAATAATAGTTATGGGATTATTAACTTAAAAAGCGTATTCTTGTTTTTGTCTTGTCTAGTTTCTCTACCTTTATTAACTAACTACGATCCCAGTAAGGTATGTGGGATCAGCCAAAAAGCCCAAAAAAATATGACCTTTTGATATAATTAACAAATTCCTTGTGATGAAGGTTATACTCTTCACAACTTGATTCTTCCCTCTCTTTCACTTAGATAAACATTAAAGGATGAAGCAAAGCATATTCTCCCCTCTAAATTTTACTTATCAACAGTGAGTGCTGCACCGTTCTTTCTTCCCATCATTTGTATCAAGAATTGAACTTTATGGACTTTTGGGCGAACCCATCTCAAGAAAGGAATCTAGATTTTATTGGTTTCAAAAATTGATGACCAAGCTTTTTATGTATCCGAGCTTAGTTTATGCTCATTCTCTCCTTGCACTTGAGTTTCAACGTTTTGACTATGAACAATCATATCTAATTTCTGCTGCAGTTATGATTCCATTTGTGATGAGGCTGATAGTGCTTTATTTTTTAAGCATATGATATCCTAGTGGTGACTACTTTCCTTCTTACAATCCTGGTGGGTTTTAGTTGAATTTTCGGGATTCGTGTGTTTCTTGATGCATTTGGGATTTTGGTGTTCTTTGTGATGTGCTTGTAGAATTTTTGAAGTTTCATTTCCATCCATTTTATCCTGCTGTGGTTGTTACACCATTGTGCATAGTGTTCTATGAAACACATCAAGAAGATACATATAACTCTGAAGCAATCATACATAACTCATGAGTTTCTTATCAGGGTCCTCAAGCCATACATGGCAACCTTCCATGACTTCAGATACTACTGTTCTAAGTTATTGGTTGAATTGGAGGTTCTTCTTCTGTGCACTATGGATTTTATCCTCCATGGCTCTAGCATTTTTTTTAATATTAAAGTATGAGGGATTCAATAGATCAAGATCTGAGAGAGGAGAAAATCAAGGAGAAGATGCTGGATTGGTGTATGAGGATGAAGCATGGAATACATGTCTTATTGGAATTGATCCTTCTTGGCTGCTAATTTATAGAATCATTTGTTTTATCGTGCTTTTGGCTTTGATCATTGCAAGTGTGGCTGCTGATGGAGGCGGCATATTTTACTACTACACTCAGTAAGCTTCTTTAAGCATAACTGAATGAATGATATATTACTCACAGTGTTCTTTGCATCTCTGTTCAGTGATAAGATGGATTGAACAATGTATACACATTCTTTCTTGAAATAACAAAAACTGTCTTCCCTTTTGTGAAAAATGAATTAGAAAAGTAGTGCATTTCTTTATTTGCTTAATTTTCACTTCTGTTCCTTTGCCAGCTTAGTTATTATGCTAGAGACATTGTTATATAATTACTGATTTTGTTAACATATTTTAAGAAACTAAAAATATTTATTTGAAAAAAAACCAATTTTTACACTTTTATATTTTGATATAATAAATGCTCTATTTCTCAAGTAGTTTTTATTTATATTTGCTTAAAATTAATCCTTAAGTATGATATTAACAAAAATGTATAATTATTTAATGTTTATATTATTTTTAGATAAGTTTTGGCGAGGATGGAAGAATTACCATTAAAAAGTGGAAGCGCTTATCATGATATCTTTTGTTGGGATAAAAAATAAAACAAACTGAAAAGGGTCAAATTATTTATAGTCACAATAGAACATTTCTTATATAAATATTCTAATTGTATTTGTTTTTTTCGATGAACAGATGGACCTTTACTTTGGTCACTATTTACTTTGGGGTAACACTTCACATTTCCATCTCATACATTGTAGTAAAAAATTATATTATTATGATGATGTAATTGACTTGTCCTCTGAATTTTGCGTTCAGTTTGGATCATATTTCTCCTTACATGGATGTTCCTTAAAACAAAAAAAAATAGGGAGCAGCACAGTGAATGGTAATTCGGTAGATGCAGAACTGGGCGCTTATACAAGGAAAACTGCTGGTTTATGGGGTTACATTTTTCAAATAATTTTTCAGGTAATTTTTTTAATGATTTAGTTGGTGCAATTTTTTTTTCCTGCACGAACATTATTATTTTAACATATTTGGCATCGACATCAAAGATCTCTTTTATCTTTGACTACACTACAAACTTTGCTTTGAATATAAATTTTGTTTAGTCTTGACATGTAACAGAGTTTTTAAACTTTTAATCTTGGTTTTGTGAAAAGAAGTTGGATATAATTGGAAAAGGTTTAGGCACTTCATGTTTGTCAAATGGTTAGCTAATTTGAACAATTTTAGCTGTTTGAGATGAAGGGTTGCCGTTGTGCATACATTTTGAATTTCTGGGTCGCCACATAATGCCTCTTGGTTGGCTGGCTTTTGGTATCTTCGGTCATGTATAGAGGATTTTTTTACCACTCTACAATAATTTAAAAATTTAATTAACTTAGTTACTGTTATTAAATTTATTAATAATTTCTATATTTTTAAATTATCTTTAAAACAATTGTTCTTCTGTTATCTTAACATTGTCAATAGAAATTATCCTAGACATAACTTTTAAAATAATTATAACATAAAATAATGATAAATAATTTTGTGGCAATTTATGATTGATAGATAATATAAATTTTCTATACCATCAGTATATTTTATTTAATACATTTTTACTTAAGGATATTATTGTATAAACAGAAAAATTTAAAAAAACATTATAAAAAGGACTAAGAAAAACTTCAAAAACAAATCCTATAAAAAAGATCAGAAGTATATTTCAAGATCGATAATCGCAAATTTCAGAAAAAAAATAATGATAAAGTTCCCTTTCAGACGTTTTAGGTAGTAATGCATCCTGCACCTTTCAGGAGGCAATCTATTGATATAATTATTTTTTTTTTCCTAATTTTATTTGAAATGTATAGACTTGTGCAGGTGCTGTAGTGCTCACTGACTCTGTATTCTGGTTCATAATTTATCCGTTGCTGACATCCAAAGATTACAGTCTCGATTTTGTAAGTATGATCAACCCTGTCAATGGTCCCTCGTTCATCCTTTTTGGCTCCGAAGTTATATTTCATATTTGAATATCATAACTTTGTTGGAGAGTGTTGACCTTTTAACTTAGTTTCATGTTTGTAATAAAATTAAAATAATTTGATTTCAGCAACTGTATCATTTTTTTTTTCTGAAATTTGCGAAAACAGTACTCATAATTTTCTCCTTTTTTCCATTAAAATTTTGCTTTAAGTAATTCATTGTTTTATTTATAGGATATTTCTCTGGACATTGTAATCAACATCAAAGCATTTTTTTAGCTTGCCAGCATCTGCTAAACATCAACTACCTCATGAAATATGTGATTAATGGGTATCTGTTGTTTGAAATACCTTAATTATGACCAAGCATTTTAGACTGAAGAAAGGTGAATGGGTTTACAAATGTAAAAAAGTTAACTTTTTTAAGTCATAAGTAATAGGCTGGTTCTTAGCTACGATAATTAAGATTATTTCTTTTATTTGTTTATTTTTTCTATTCATCTAAAAATGTTTACATCTTTCATGTCGCAGTTGATTTTTTGTATGCACTCCATCAATGTTCTTTTCCTCCTTGGTGACACATCATTGAATTGCATGGTGAGTTTGGCTTTTAGCAGTTTATGGTCTATATTCATTTTTGCTTTTTAAGTTCTTTTTTTTTATTTCTGGCCCTGCATCAAGTTCAAAACTTCAAATTCACAACTATTTATTCTAAAACATGCAGAGATTTCCAATGTTTCGATTTGCATATTTTGTCTTGTGGACGGCTATATTTGTGATTTTTCAGTGGATCATCCATGCTTGCGTTTCAATTTGGTAAAACCGAGTGTCCGTAGTTTTGTTTTTTCTTTTTATACAAGAGTGTGCTGTCCTTTATAATTTGATAACCGTTGTTACAGGTGGCCTTATCCTTTCCTTGACTTGTCATCCCCTTATGCACCTTTATGGTAAGTTCTCAAATTATATTTGTCAAATGCTGAAATGATTGTCTTCTCATTGTTTCAAAAAGTTAAACATTGCTGATTGATGACCTTGCTTTTGGAAAAGTAGACTCATCTAAAGTATAAATAATACTTTGATCCCTGACTGACATGTGCTTATCCTTTCGTATGTGATCATAATGTTAATTATTTGCGTAACTTGAGAGATTGGTTTGATATCTAAGTGGACCCCCACTTAAAAAGCTGTTAAAAGCAATACAATTTTAAGCCAAAGTAAACTACTTCAAACACATTCATTAATGTTACTGGAATTTTTGTTAAGTTTTGGTCAATGTTTTCAAGTATGAAAGAATTAAAATAAACAAGGGAACAAGAAACATTATTGTGTAACTTTGAATATGTTTCCTTAATTGTTACTGACTATTAAGTGCAGCAACTGAAAATGAAATTAATCTTAGTCAGTTACTCTTCAAATAATCATACATATATCTTGCCCTACTGATCTTTCAGGTATTTAGCTGTGGCTTTGATGCATTTTCCATGCTACGGCATCTTTGCTTTAATAGTGAGGATGAAGCACTCGTGGTTGTCAAGATCTTTTCCAGGGTCTTCCCTGTTTGAGCGGTGAAAACATATTCCACAACATACAACTTTGAATGAAGACTACCCTTTTAGCCTAGCAAAACCCTTTTGATGATCAGATTGAGATAATCCCAGCTGATATGTAAATCATCTCTTCCCACCCCCTTTAAAGAAAGAAAAAAAAAGCATTATTGAACACTACTATTACTGCAAATCCTTAGCTTTTACCCACTCTGCTAATCTTCTATTTTTTAGAAGAGTGCACAAGACTATATCATCTCGGTAATTTTGGTAACTTAGTATAATCATGAAGTCTAATTAATAAGCACTACCGGCTAACTCACAATGAGCTGAAGATGTCTATCATCATTTCGTCCTCAAAACACTAAAATATAAACACCAAACGCCTGCACCATGCTCCAGTGTGCAAAATAGAATACGTTAATTCTTCATAAATTCCATATTTATCTTGAATGGATGAAATATGATTGGTTTCATCCCATGTATCCATGGTCCTGAATTTGAGGATCACAACTCCCAGGTTCCCCACACCAAAGAAAGCAATAAAACCATAAGAGGTTAGAACCGTTGCAGTGGTTCTTTGTCTGAATGCCGCAACCTAATTTATGCTAAATACTATTATACTAACTTTACTTGATTGAGCGTACAACAAGCTATGGAGAGATGTTTGAGAGAAGGCCTTTACAATAGTCGTCCACATTGGGCTCACTAGACAGTGAAGTTTTAGTCTGGAACCAATCCATCGTATAATCTGCAATGCACGATGCTTGCATGATTGGATGATTGGGGAAAGGATATTTTAACACGACATCTTGCAAACATATTTTGTAGATCATATCCAAAGTGATTCAAAATTGCAAATGGAAAAATGAAGGTGAATCAAAGAAAAAGGGATGCCAAATTTATCAGAAAGCAAAGTCAAGGGCAATGATTTAAAGCATGTTGCTATTCGATTAGTTGAATCAATATAGGTTAATCATCTCAAACTTCCAATTATCAAGAACTTCATTGATCCCAACATACTGATCCCTACTTTTACCTACATAATATTCAGCTATGGCTCCACATGTTGTCTGATAAACTTTTCCAACTGAGATATATCCCCATTTAGACCAGAAGCATCTGCAGCTGTAATTTTGTTACAGCACTGGACAAAAGTAAATGGTTCTCCAGGTACCCCAAGGGTGAACTCGTTTGCAATGTCCGCTGCTGATATTGCACTTCTTGATGCTCGTAATTTGTCACTGTAAAGGGATAGCAAGAGTTAAGGAGCAAGATAAAAGGATTAAGACGGTCATAGATTGAATAATACATATTTTTTAAATTAATTAACCAATCAGTTGATTTGAGTTGAAAAATAAATAATTATGAGGAAGAAGCTACAAGGACTATAGTTAATAATAGAAAGAAATTAGTGAGAATATATGAATGTATAGATGCAAAAGTATTAAAAGAGTTGTAGAAAACATCTACAACAACCAAGCCTTATCTGTCTGTGTGAGGCTGGTCACATGGGTCAAATATCTACTAGAAACCAAATTATCAATGAATCCATTTACAGTCAAGTCCTGTTCAAAAATTACTCCTACAGTATGTTCCATACTTCCATTAGTTCGACTTTTCACGTTGGGCCTCACTTGGTCTTCTCTCATAACCAAAGCACCTTAATAAACTTTCTATCATCTTCCCCTCAACAGGTACAGTGCAACTCCAACTTTGTCAATAATATCATAATCTAACCACTTTTCATATGTCCACTAACATTCTCATTTCAACTGCCCTTTCTTTACTCAACAAGTTATCAGCACTTTAGTGACAAAAGTTGAGCACTGTTACTCATTAGTCTTGTCTAATAATTGCCAGTTGAAGCACATTGTCATCATAAATTAATCTATTACACTATTGTGAGATCTGGAGATGGCCTAATGTACACAAATTTACACCAGTGACAGGAAAGGCTGAGTAAATGGCCAGAACATATGACCACCAAGGTCACAAGGCAAACAACCTTACTGTTACCATATATTAAGAATATCCAAATCCAATACTATCTAGATTGTATCTTAAAATAATTTAGAATATTTCAGATTTTCTCTCGGAGTAATTTCTTCCATGATTCATTCTTCTTCTTTTTTTTGTTGAGATTATGATCTAGTATTAGTGTAAATAAGAGCTACTACTTTATTTTTTGTCTATCAAATAAAGTCAATCTCGATCTAAAGGTGGCATTTGGATATCAACTTAAGTTTTTGTTCAATAAGCACTTATTGCATAAGTGGTTTATACTAAAACTTACGATAAAATTCATTGACATAAGTTGAAAAGTCCTTACTTTGATAAACTATATGAAATAACTTATCGAAATAAGTTGAAAAGGGCTTATTGAGAGTTATAAGCTATTTTTATAAGTTCTTTCAAATGCACCCTTAATCTCTTTTACCTCCTTTTCCCCCCTCTACATAATTTCAACACTTATCGTAGCACATATTCTCACTGTTACATAATTCATCAACTTCAAACAATAATATGCAACAATAGAGTAATCAACAAACAATCAAATGAGCAAAGAATAACGATAGAGTCTTGAAGCATTACATTTCCTTCCCCATCTGTCTGCAGATGAACTCCTTGGAATGAGCAGTGACCTTGTCCGTCTTGTTGCAGAGAATAAGCAACGGAATCTTCTTCCTCACAACACTTCCCTTAGTCAACAAATCATACAAATACCTGTCAAGAAAAATCAAATTAGAAAACACAAGAACCCTTGCTCACGCCACGTAACCGACACCTCTTCTTCCTCAATATCAGGGCAATTATTCAACACGCAGACACACACACACACACACACACACACAATTCAACATAACACTCGAGGCACAGAAGCTATTACTCTGAAGCAGCACGGCAATTCTGCAAGAAATCTTGAGCATCAACAACAAAAACAATGCCAGCAGCCTGAGGCAAATACTCATCCAATTTCGGTCGAAGCCGCGAATGCCCAGGAACATCAACAACACGAACAGGTTTTATCTTCCGCTTCTGTCAAACAACCATAAGAAACACACTGACATAAATAATAATTTCAAATTTCAACTAATTTGACATTCCATTAAGGGGTAAATTAAAATGTGCTCATAAAGAAGCACAATGTGGAAGAAGCTGAGATGAGACGTTACTTGGGTTGTTTCGGAATGGAGAATAAAAGCGTCGTCGTTTGGTTCCATCGAGGTAACAGTACCCTCGTGGATAGAGCCATCCCTAAGCTACATAAGAAGAATGCAGAAAGTATATAAATGAAAGAGAAGCGAAAAGTGAAAATAAAAGGAATTGAGATTGATATTGATATTGATAATGAGAAAGCTACCTGATAGAAGAGAACGGTTTTGCCGGCACCAGAGAGACCAGTGAGTACAATGGTGTTGGACTTCACGCGCTTCAACAAGCGAACTGCGGAAGCGAAATGTGTCAACGAAGATAAAGGAAAAATTGAAAGGGAAAGAGAAGGGAAGGGAAGTGGTGACTTGTGAAGAGGAGAATGGTGGTGAAAAGAAGGGCAGAGGCAGCAACGTAGAGCTGAATTGGGGGAACTTCACGAAGACGATTGAGAGCCACGCGCCACCACTCTTGAACTTGTTGCTTCCATTGCTCCAAATGCAATTGTTCCATCGTCTCTAGGGAAAGAAGGGAACAGGCTCAGCTAAACCGGTTTCGTAATATTTGTGATCTATTAAGAATGTAGACAACAATAGATCTGCTTGCCTAGGAGTTAGGGCCATTTCAAAAGACACTGTAAAACCACCTCAATCAATCAATAACCTTTTTTTTTCTATATTATTTTATTTTAATTTTAAATAACCTAAATATACTTTTTACTTTTTATATTTTGATAAAGCTTTTATTTTAGTCTTTTGAATAAACATTCTTTACTTTAGCCTTAATATTTTTATAAACTGTTATTTTCAAGTATTGATGTGTTCTAGAAAAAACTTTTACGTGACATTCTTTTAATATATCATATTAGTAATAGATTTTAAAAATAAAATTTTCTAAAAATATAGAGATTAAAATAAAAAATAACCATTTTTGCGATTAATATATATTTTAAAATATAAATATATATATATATACTATTTAAATTATAACCCCTAATGTAAATTTGTTTCTTTGTCCATCTTTTAAGGTAATTATAACACTTTTTCGTATTATTTGAGAATTATTAAACTAATTTTTGTAAATAAAAAATTAAAATATGTTATATAATTTTTTAAATCTAATAAAATATATAAATTAAAAAGGATTTTATATTTCATAAAAAATATTTCATTACATCAAATAAAATAAAATTAAAAAATTTAATATTAAAACGTTATATGATATACTGCAAAATAAAATTTCTATATATAATTTGAGTCTAAATTTTTAAATAAAAATATTTTTAGAAACTTTGTCAAACGATAAGACTTTTAGGAATTATTTTTTCATGCCAAATAACTTTTTTACATTAAATATTTATTTTTAATTTGATATTCATTTTATTTTTGAATTTTTATAATTTATTTTAAATTACTATATTTATTATTAATAATTATAATATTTATTATTTTCAAACTTATAAATTTTATTAAATATAAATTAATTATATATAATATTTTAATTATTTATGTAAAACAACTATTCTAATACTTATACAGTGCGTGAAAATAACATTACCAGATATAAAATAAACGTACGTTGTTTGGCTTTCATTTTTTTTAATGTGCTAATTTTTATATAATTTTTCTTGACATTTATGTTTTAGGTTAAATGTTACACATGTGACTACTTTCCGAAAAACTTTTAAGTACCTTTTCGATATTACTTTGAACACAGAAAATTAAGAAACCTCTGAAGAAGCTTTAAAATTATACCAAGAAAAATCAAGTTTAGAACTTAGCCTGAAGAGCTTTAACGATGACGAGGTTGATTTTTAATCAAATTACAAAATTAATAATTTTATATAATGACATACAAACGTTGAGAGTAAAGAATTTGAATTATATTTCAATTTAGAAGGGGATTAAGAGACTTTATTTTATTTAAAGAGTTTTCAAAAATAAAGAGTTAGAGATTTTTAGATGTCTTCTAAAATACTCTTTTATATTTTTGAAGTTCAAGCTTTATTTTGAAAGTTTAGAGGAGTTAATTTGAAATTTAATAAAAGTAATTTAATTTAATAAAAAATTATTAGTATTTGAATCAAATTAATTTTAGAAACTAAATGAGAAATAAGTAATTCAAATTGCAAAAAAGCTGGATTCTAAAATTTGAGATTGTATAAGATTTAATTTAAGAAAGAACATTAAGAAAATTCAAATTGGACAAGAAGGAACTAAGATTCCTTAAGGAATTAGACGTAGAATAAGGAATGAAAAGATAAAGTAGAGGAATAAGATATATTACAGAAAATAATAATAAAAGAATTTAGAGAACATTAGCAAAACAAACAGAGCAAATGATTATGATGACCTTTCATAAGGCACTTATGACAAACTGTGGTATTCTATTTATTAACCATAAGACTAAATAATTTCGACAGATGCCTAATGAACTGGAGCCACGATGGGATATTGATGCAGCCAAAGTTAGCTGTTGGTTTTGAACCAATGTGGATTATTACTCTCATTGGATGAGATGTTGGAGTTGGAAGCTTGAATTACCTCCATTGTCTTGCATCCATATGGGGTTATATTTAAAATAAAATAAATAGAAAATTTTAAATATATTCTAAGCATAAAAACATTAAAAGTTAGTAAAAATGGGAAAGATATTAAAATTTTAAAGGAAAAAAAATCGATTCAAACTCCTTAAACAATTTGGTTACATATATCTCAAAAAAATTTACATAAAATATACGTATAATTTGTATAAAATAGAATTATGTGAAAAAAGTTATATTCTTTCAAAGTTTAAAACTAAAAAATTTATAAAATATATGTTTCGTGCTTAAAATTCATGTTAACATAAATAGCATCAATCTTAAGCGATTTATGTTCTATTTAGTGATTAGGATGACCCTATTTATCACAAATATACTCAGGTATAAGTTGCTATAGGGTGGCATGACTTATGTACAAACTATAAGTCGTTTAACCCTTGTGTAACTTATGTATTAAGAAAAAATAATATATTTTGTGATTTTATAGAAACAGAACATGTTTGAAGTTTGGTATTTTTATTTTATTTTTTTAAAATTTTTCAAATTGAGTGAAAGAAAAATTATTAAACTCTAATAAGTAAAGTGTTACGATATGTTCACGCATCATTATGCATATTATTGCAAGGAAAGTTACAAATGGATACATTGTTTCGTGCTATAAGCTTGATCCAATGGGGAAGCCTTGAAATTATGATTGTGAGCAAAGTTCTAACAGTATAGAGATGCACGTGGCATTGGGTGTGTATTATGCGAACCCACCGTACTCTAACTATAGTGAGCATCGACGAGATCATGATTGAGACTATTCTAAAATCATGTTATGAAATAGAATTCTCAATCAATTATTAAATTTAAGAACACAATGCGTGAAGACAATGTCATAGTTTAGGCCCATATGCTTGGTACTTAATAAAAAAAATAAAGAAACGATTGGAGTTCATAATTAAACCATATATAGCATGCAATACATGGTGTGAAATTTTCATGTTGTTGGTTGTGGTTATTGTGCTTACATTTATATTGCTATGTGCAATAGGTGTCTAAAGTTGTTTAATTAACTCTGTGTGTTGTTATTCCATTCGGTGTTTGAAGTTTTGGATTGAAAAGAAAGAGAAACGGAGTTAAATGTATTTTTTGTAAACTTAGAAATGGATAGTTCTCTAAAAATAATAAGTTTAACTTAACTACAAAAATAAATGAATCAAGGAGAGGACTATAAGTAGAAAGAAGTAAAAACAACAAAATAATTTATATTTGTTTATCCATAATTAATATAACTATGTTTACTATTTTTCATAAATCATAGAATATTATAGACTTAAGTATTATTGCACAAATCATTTTAAGATAAATAATTTTAATTATTTTTAATAAATGCCTTTTTTAAAAAAACACACTCTTAAGTATTGTTTAAACTTCTTCAATCACTCTATCAACTTAAAAATAGTGAGCTTTTTACACAAGAGATAAAGAGGATTGTTAGATTATTTTGATATTTTGAAATTCGTGTATAATAATCTTTTTTGCCTTTTCTGCATAGATGTGTGTCTTTGTTATATAACTTAGAGATGACAAGTTTATGTTAGACCCATTCACATATCTATTAGATTTAATAGACTGCTTGTCTTAAAAATCCTTTTGATATAAATAGATTATTTATTGTGCCAAAAGTGCTTTTTGTTCTTTTTCTATTTTAGTGCAAGGTGTGAGAAATTAGTAAAAAGACAATTTTGTTTATTTTAAATAAGTGTAATTTTGCTTTCCTCAATAATAGTTCAACTTCCTCGATTCATTGGTTGCTTTTGTACTTTATTGTATTCATGTTCTTAAAATTTACCTACGATGTTTTCTAGAATCATTAGGCTTTTCAAGAAAGCATGTAATTGGTAAGTTTATAATATTCATACTTATCAACTGTAACTTGACATATATGATATCAATGTTTAATTATTTTGAGTTAATTGTATTTTTAGTGGTGACCTTAATTGGATTTAAATAACAAAAATATGCTAATTTTAAAACTTTTAGTATCTTTAACCTATGTTCATTGACAAACTATTTTTTAGAACTTCAATTTGATTGTAATTTCACAGAAAATTGATTTTAGAACTAAAAGATATTTCCTTCACAAGTTAAAAGCCATATAGTTGTAGGCCAAAATCATTATATTACAACTTGGTTGGGCCTATCTAAATCCATTAATGGTCCATGACAATTTATAATTACATTAATTAGGAGAAAGCTAATAAAGATTACTATAAATAACTTAGTTTTCTCTTTTTGTACCTTTGAATTTCTTTTGTTATTTTTCAGACTTAGGATTTCAAATTGAGTTTCTGGTTCTTCTTCTTCTTCGTTACATTCTTATATATTTTATCCATTAAGCGTTTATGGATTTAAATATCAAAGGTTAAATGCTTAAAGATAGATTTTTCAACTCTATTTCAATAACTGAAGTCTGAGGTTTTGTTCTTAATCAAAATTGAATTTATTGTCTTTTATTCTCAATTATGTTCTTAGATTTTGTATTTTTTTGAATTTTCATGCTTGATGATATTTGAATTATGTTCAAAACTTTAATACATAATTAACAAGAACTTTTAACCACATTAATACTTAATTTTACAAGTTAAATTTAGGGTTGATAATCATATTTGAGTTGCTTCAACTTTGTGAATGAGTTTGAATGAAAATTAGTGATAATTGAATTAGGATTAGAAGACACTTGATTAACTAACCTAAATTCAATGAACATTTTGTGTTATTCATAATATGAATTTTCTTTATTCTTATTAATACTTAATTAATCATCTTAAATCAAATTAAGAGTGAAAATAGAATTCATATTTAATAATTAGTAATCTATGATAAGATTTAATATTAAATTGAATAGAGAATTTGTAACATAAATTATATTAAAGAAAAATAATTAAAGTAAACACTTTTACTTTTACGGCTTAAAGAATTAAGGAAAAGTCAAACTTTCATTTTAAAAATTTAATCAATCCACGATAAATACATATAAATTTAAAACATAAACAATACTATCTTCTGATAGAGTAAATTTTTATTTAAAATAAATACAAACTTCTTAAAAT